TATATATATATATATATATATATATATATATACATAATCAAAATGTATTCATGTTGAGGAGCAATGAGCTCTCAAAACAAAAAAACTTTTTGCAACTGTTGTCTCTGTTTCCACAGAAATACATAGTGTCTGACTAATAACTGGCAAAGCATCAGTCACGTCAGTAAACTCCTATATGTACTGAAATCTAGTTTACTACTCCGGCAGGTAGGTTGAACCTTAGTAACAACCTAGCAATGGACCTGTTTTCTAGTCCCTGGTGAGTCTGCCAGCCAACCTAAGCTTAATAATTAGAGATCGCCAGGTTTCCCAAACTAAATGAATACCCTATATATAAACACAAAACTGCTTCACATGAACTTTTAAACTAGTAGTGCCGTGTCACCGGCACAGCTGATGGTGGATGCCAGACATTTCCAATCACTCATGAGCATTCTAAAGTCTAAAAGTCAAAATGATTTAAAAAAAAAGATGTAATCATTTCCAGTGTTTTTATCTAATGAAATATTCTGCTTCAATCCATATTTGATGGTTTTCAGCCTTTCAGAAACACCTTTTTCACTGCGGTCACATGCATTGCATTGAGGGGGTGGTTGAGCAGCAAAGAGCACCATAAATTGAATGAATTAAAGAAAGTTGAATCAATACAAAATAAGAGTAAATCTTTTAATCCGATGAATCACTTAGCCTTTATAAGTATGTTGGGGAATTTCTGCCAATGCAGTGGTTAAGTTCAAGTTCTGAAATTGTTTTAATTAAGTTAATTATTCTATGAATGTTACTATAACAGCTGCATGAAACATAGGAAGTAAAGGACAAAAAATGTTTCAGATATGTTATTTTAATACATGCTGACTTCCTTCTGGTGTTTGCTCTGGCAGTAACAACGTTGCCATGGAACTGGCGGAGTAATATTTTTAGTGATGAGCCAGGTGTGCTGTTATGCTGATCTGAGCACATTCTTGTTGACCAATCAGATTGCTTGGTTGGAACTACTTGTTGTATAATTTATACTGTTTGCTGGTTGTGAGGGGTTTGGTTAATAATTATCCCCTCACTCTCTGGGTTTCTGTCGCCCTGTCTGTGCGGCGTTCTTCACCATTCTTCCTCCATCTCATCAGTCTTTTTAACATCTCCTCACTGCCTGCTTTGCAGTGACCTGCTCTTCTCACTTCAAGGCGGAGAAGCTTCATCTCTCTCCACTGCTGCTCTTAAGCAAACTCATTTGGTCTTATTAGGGGACGAGTCTGCCAAGTGTTCTTAAGACTGGCTGAGGAAGATGAGGGCTTAGTTTTTTCTCGATATTTTTGCTGCAATAAGATAATTCACTTGTGGAGCTCAGAAAAATTTTGTAGTGCTTTCATGCAATGTCCAACTCTGGTGGACTTGACACACTAACCTTTTCGCAACTGACCAACAGCAAACTGTCTTGACAGTGCTGACCGTTAACTAAAATGGAGGAAGCTATTATTTAAGCATTTAAAAACTTCATGGAAATTTACAGTGCAGAAGCTGTTGAATTTAACATGATCTTAAATAGGTGCTGTGATGGACAGCTTTGTCAACAGTGATTTAAAAAACATGGGGAGGAAAAAAGCCTGAAGTCAGCAGGCAGTGTGTGTGTACAAACCTGCCAATGCAGCCCGATCATCACTCAAAAAACAAACAGGAACAGCTCTCACATCTATTTAGACTGTAGTAAACTGACAGAGGAGTAAAGGGAATGGATGCTGATGAGTTTACACTTGTCCTATATGTATATGAATTTATGCATGACAGAAGTCTTGTAATGAAAAAAAAAACCAACTATGATATTTTCATGTGATTATGTTTGTGCATAATGTGTAATTAGATGGGTCTGCTGCCCTATTGGACAGGCTAACCCATACCTTAACCGTCCTGAAAAAAAACTTGGTTAAATAAAAAGAAAATTAAATAATAGTAATAGACCTTCAGAGGCCTGTACTATGAAGCCTGTTCAACTTACCCAGTATATTTTCGTTATCTGGTTTGACTAACCCTAACATTGGCAGTCTGGATAACCAGCACTACAAAGCTGGTTATCAACTAGTTCAGTCAACTTCGGGTTGAAGGTGTTAATTACGAGCAACATCATCAGAACCATGACTGAAGAAGGCTGCTTCATATCATGTGAGATGAAACTGTAGCAAAAGTGTCTGGGACTATGAGACAGGAAAATGTCAGTGTCATTAATCTTGTGTAATCTTATGATGGAAAATGTAGAAAATTGAAAATACTATCAAAAAAACCCCCACAATTTATTGCACCATTGGCCGAGACTTAAATTACACGTGTGTATCACTAGGCTATATGTGACATTAGCGTGTAGAGTATTTTTTGCGATTTATTTGGTTGATGATGAATGTCACATAAAACACTTTAAAGTAATGCCCACTACTGAAGCAAAGGGTGGAAAAGTAGCCTAGTTAATGAATGATGAGGTCTATCTGACCCAAATGTTGCATTTATAATAACACAAGCCAATCAACAGTGTGTGGATTATTTTACCAATAACATATCTTTTTTTTTCCATTTTTTCTTTCTCTTTGGGGGCACCTATGGTGATAAACACTAATTGCAGTGTGTATGTTGGCAGATTTGAAACCAGGCTGGTGAATTTATTTTTTATCAGACATCCAGTTTCTAATACTACAAATACAAGGGCTTCCATCAGTGAGCCATAGGCCCAGTTACCATTGTGTTTCCTCATTTGGTGATAGATAGTGACGTAACAGGCATTCATTTAAAATAAAATCATCAAGATGATGACTTGAAATTTTGACTTTAATTTATCACTTTATATTAAAGTAGTTACTAACAGTTGTACCCCTAATGTTGTTTTCTATCTCTTTGAATAGAGCACTTAAAGTGACCCCACAGTGGATTAGCTGATGCTGGACCAGTGGCATAAGGAAGTTACAACGGGCCCTAGTGCATGCTATCGTGCATGTATTGTTTTGACACAAATAGGGACTTGACATTGGACAACATCAACATATATATTACCCAGCAATCATCATTGCATATCTGATGAAAATATCAAAGAAAATTAATCATTAAATTGAATGGTTCTCATAGTTTAATTATAGATTTTATAACTTAGGTAGAAAAAGCATATCATTTTGTTTCAGATAACTACTGACTATATGAAAAGATAAAAACGTAAACCATGACGTAGATGGGTTTGCCTTTTTGAGGACATATTAAGCAAATTATAAACATTCTTTTGTCATTCCTCTTTGAACACAGGAACATAATCGAGGGTGGTGATCTGAATCACCCCAGGCCCCAGTGCAACCGCACTGCCTGCACTGTATATATATTCACGCCCCTGTCCTTGACAGCAAAACATGGGTTTTGATCTGATCCGGATAACATTTTTTTAACACTGGACCCTAGAGATAACAAACTATGTTTCTGGGACACAGAGGAATCTATTGCCCTGGCAGGAGCCACTTCTCCTTATCAATGAGTTACCGAATCCTGTTACTCTGAAATGATAACACATAAGCCCCGATCACAAGATTACAAACTATTATATCAGGATAATAGACTTTAAATCTCGAGATTATGATAATGGCTTTATATTTCAGGTAACTAGATGATTCAGTTATGATCTTGAGATAGCAGGTCTAAGTATGGCTGCACTGAGGCTCCACTCTTTCCTACCTAAACAATACCCTAAATGTAACCTTATCCTTGATCAAATCATTTCAAACAATAAGTGCAATATTCTCCACCAATTTTTGTGTGATGTGTTTCTCACCTGTTTGTAGGAGACATAGATAGGTCTGCTGAAGATGATCCACTCCACCACCTTACTGCAGGGAGGCGTGGTCAGAGAGCCGGTGTAGCGATAGTAACTTCCCAAGGCAGACGGCAGCAGGTCCTTCAGGACGAACGGCTCCAGGACTGTCTCTTTTTCTATATGAGAGGTCAGGACAAAGTGTTTGGATCAATACAACATGATCTACACAACACTCTTTGTCTCACTGCAAAATACAGTGACCAGGCTTTCTGGAGCAGATCCAAGTGCTACTGTTTCACAGCCTTTAGGTTTATGCTATCGATTTCATTTGCATTGTGCCTGCCTTGTTCAATGCCCCCCTACTGACAGACATATTGCACTGAACACCTACAATTATACCTCTCTTGGAGTTGGATGGCATACACAATACAATCAACGCTATAACATCACATCTCTAAGCCCAAATGTTGACACAGTGGAATTATTCACTGACTAACAGTGTGTGCCCCAAACAAAAATTATGACTGGTATGAGGCACACTGTGGTCTGTGGAGAGGAAGGAAATAAGACTGTTCATGAAATGATAAAGGAAGCTTCAAGCAAGAAAATCTGTTTTCCTTTTATATTACACTTTCAGTGAGAGTGTAATAATCCAGATCCCCTAGAAATGGGCTTTTCAAACAAAACAATTAAGTAATCTGTAAACACATTTACAGTATACCTTCTGTCAATTTCTTTTCTCCAAGTGGCCGGCCTCAAGCTACCACTGACCTCAGAGGAGATGTTAATTTTACAGTGAATGTAAAGTAAAAACACAACAACCTAGAATTGCCACCTTGAGGATGTATGCGTCTACCAACCAGTCTGTCTATAATATATGTAGTTAACTTTTAAGGAATTTAATGAAAGGTAGTAAATGTATTTTTTGGTGAAACATGATAGCTTCACACACACAGCACAGAAGATCTATACAATCAGCACAGTTTCAAGGTGGGCACCCAAGATTACTGTCGCCAATTCGGCAAAACCAGACCAAATGTCTCCCCTTCTGTTCCTGAGGTATGATGTGAATAATGGCCTGAAAAGTGTTTTTGCAAAATATTATTACCCCTTTTTGACAGTCATGGGCTGCTTTGGTTTGGTTTGGGCTGTCAGCCCACCGTGGTAGGGATTTGCATTTCTGTTACAACAGGGTTACCTTCTTGAAGGTGTGTCTTTAACTGATGACGGCTTGTCTTGAGTGATGATGTTTAAAAGCAGTGGGCTGATCCACGGCTAAAGTCCCTGGTTAGTGTTGCTGCATGTGTTTTTCCACAGTAGGGCAGGTAAAAGAAGTTTACCTGTTGGAGGTGAGCTGTTTGCAGAGGTGCAGTAAGAGCCTGTTGTCTGCAGCTCTTTCTCTAACATCTCACTGTGGCTGTTTTTGCTTTTACTTTCCTCCCTGCCATATTATTAGACTTGCCTTTATTGAAGAAAAGCTGCTGACAAAGTTCTGCTAATTCAGTTATAAACACATTTCATTTTATATGGATTCTTCACAATAAAAGTCCCCCATTATTTTGTTATGTAAAAACTATTACTGTGAGGCAGCAAAATAATGAAATGTTGAGTTTTAGAGCAGCAACTTTACACAACTTCTAATACGGCTGATAGCAAACATGAAACAGTAAAATAAAGCAGATATCTAAAGTCCAAACAGGATGCAGGAGAGAAACTAAACTCCAAATCACAGAGATTCAGTTAGAAGCTACAAAAGTACTGAGATCTGAACACACAATGCCTTTCTCTGTGGTCTCCTGCAGACAGTGGTGAGTAAAGTCTTGCAACACATACGCTTGTTTGAGGGGGAGAAGCGGGGTCATAGGGTGTTGGCTGTGGTCAGTGAGCCCTCACCACTACCTGCTTGAGGGCAGGTGGCTAGCTTTTGGACTTTCTTTGGAGAAGGTCCATCTTTGGCACAGCATGGCATGGTGTGGCGTGTCTAAAGTGATAATGGAAACACAACTTGGTGCGGAATAGCTCGACTCAGCATGGCCAAAAGTAACAGTGGAAAACGGCCAAAATATGTCACACTGAAATTGAAATTTGATCTTTTGGATATAAATTGTCATCCCCTCATCATTATCGCTATTAGACATAGAGTGAAATTTTGACGTTTGATTACGAAATTAGAATCAGTTTATCCTTTCGGCCAAATTTGAAGAAATTCCCTCATAATTTTCTTGAGATAGAAAATAGTCGGAGGATGGGGTGTACATATGTGCGCGAACGTAGAGACGCATGTACAGACGAACCTTGAGGCATTAAAACATGTACGTATACATATATATACACACACACGCACATATATATATATATATATATATATATATATATATATATATACATGTATGTGTATATATATATAAGCAAATATATTACCCAATAATTTCCTATGCACACATTCAGAGGACACAAGGCAATTTAAGCATCAATATGGAGTCATGTCTCTGTCCAGCTGATGACTTAAGTCCAATATATACTCTCGTTTTAGTGTTGTTGTTTTTTTTTTTCCTGAGAAAAAAATGTCTGGCTGGCTAAATGTTCCACTGTGTTACCCAGCTGCTAACTTTGTCCTCATGCTGTTTGGTGCTGAGTGACCCCTTTCACATTACACAGTCATTTGATCCACTGATAATATATAAGACATTGAAAAGGGCAGCTTTAACTGATGAATTACCCTCAAAGTAACTTAAAACGTTTTATATGGTGGTCCCTCAAGACAGAATATCCGCTACCGGCATTTTTCAGCATACATAGTGCAGTAATTCTACAAAATCCTTAATAACTAAAAATGAATAAAAGTACTTTAACAATTTTCACCAACACGTCATCATTCATCTCCCTCTGAACAGTTATGAATACAAAAAAAAGCTTTGTTGAAAAGGAGAGGAGGAAAAGGAGAGGAAGGAGAGAGCTTGACAGGAGGAGGGAGGAGTTGTCATCACAGGAGAGAAGGAGGAAGAGGAGGAAGTGAGTTGTGAAGCAAAGGGAAAGGTGGGGAAAGAGAGGATGAAAAAAGAAGAATAAAAAAAACAGCAACAAAAGGAGAGAAATTACGATAGGAGATGAAGGGGGGGAGGAGAATGCATTTGATCCACAGCTCCAATAAAAACATATGAGGATGAAGGGTGACAGGAATGGAAATAAAAGGCGAGGAGGTGTGTTTGAGTGTCTCGAGTGCGGGGTGATGCATGCAGCGGGGCGGGTCACTTGACAGGGCCCGGGACGGGGCGAAGGGGGAGATGCACTGTCTTTATCGGCGACAGATAGAACCGCAGGCCCCCTCCTCCCCTACCCCTGCATCTTCCTCTAACTCCCCCTTCCTCCTCTTCTTTTTCACCCTCCTGCTGACAAGCCTTGTCTCCCGCTGCCTCCCCGAAGCCGAGTTCAGAGATGTATTTTCAGCTCCGTCGAATCCGTGCGACGGAGCGAGCCGGGGAAGGAGAAAGAGTCGGGTAGGGGAGGGGAGGGGTTGTTGATAGCAATGCGGTGGAGGTTGGTGGGGTGTACTTGGGGAACAGAGGATGACGGGACAGGCCTTCTTCAAGAGTTATGCATCTGAATTAGTACTCTCAAGAACCAAACACAGGCTTTGGCATGTCTTGCTTCAAACACAAAATTCAGGAATTGTCTAAACACATGAGACACAAACTTTTTCGCTCTTGTATACGCTCTGTGCCACATGCAAGCATACGGCACTTGAAAGAGGAAAAGGATGAAGATTTAGTGAGGCGAGGCAGCTCGTACAGTGACGGCCTGTGGGCCTTTTTTCTCTCACCAGCACCAGCAGAGACAGCAGAGAGGGGCCCAGGAAAATCTAACATTAGTCAGAGCAGAGTGAGGCTTCAATCAAACAGCAAGTATTTTAAGCTCTGAGCCTCCTGCAAGGCATCAGAAAAGCTGTCCACTCATCTAATCATCCATTAGCTTCCTTAGTTAGTCACTCAAGTCTTAATATTTTATCGCACAGCAAGGGGAAAGGCCACACATTTAGCACAAAGTCACACATGGGTTGCACTCAAGAACTCTGAATGTGTGTGAATGATATTTTGTATTGATACTGATCTGCATTTGTTACTAGTCTGTAATCATGTGGTTTCTGCAAACGACTCTTCATTATGTTGTGTATGAATGGTTATTGCGGTTTTGGTCATTCAAGATCACTTTTGGTTTGACTGCAGTGCAATAAGTCTGCAATAAGTCTTCCAACCTAAAAGACAAATCAGGTATCAAAATGACCTATATGAGAGTTTTCTGATGTAGCTGCCCTATCAGGACGACAGCATTATATGTCACTACCTCCCAAAACACAAGCAGCATTAATTCAAAGTCCATTTGCTAGCCTTTTCTAGAGTTTTCAACCACATCTGACTTTGACACTTGAGATCAGTCTGCTTCCAAGAGTTGATGTTGGGCTCTTCAACCATGACTACCATGTGTTCCTAAACTTAACCGAGAAGGGTGTAATGCCGGGTTCAGACTACACAACATTTTTGTCCATTCTGACAGTCACTTTGTCATTAGGCAATTGTGGAGTCATGAAATGGACAGACATGACAGACCGCATGTTGGTCCACGATCAATGATCTCAGGACGTCTGTCGTGATGTGCATATCAGTGAATTACTCTTGTCCTATTTTTTATTATTACTGCTATTATTATTTCAGTCACTATGGCTGTTCATGCCCCAGCTGAACTGTTATTGTAGTAATGTAAAAAGTACCACCAGATGGCAGGAGGTATATTTGAAGTGCCGTATGAAAACTATGCAAGTCACTGAATCCTCCACCTGCAAGGTTTAACAATAAAAGAAAGTGAAGGGATTCTCTCAAGTTAAATTATAAGAGGTTTTAAATTTTAAACTGATACAGGAAGTGTAGAGTTTGACACAACAATGTGGCGTATTAAATTTAACAGGGCAAATGGGAGCGGATTAAAAATAATAATAAAATACCGAGTGAATGAGAAATAAAGAGCCATTTCTAATGTAGTCTGTGTCAAATGAAGCTGGTACCCTCTGCAGTTGTGGTATGTAAAAGCCCTAACACTACTTTTTAATTTTATCCCTTTACGTCCTCCATTAAGAGGAAACAACATTCTTTGCTAGTTTGATGCTAATGGCAGTACTCAATGG